ATGCCAGAACTCCGTCACTCAGCAGCTCTCCGAAACTCTAAACTACCTAAAAAGTAATTTAAAAGAAAAAAGAACAACAACAAGAGCGTCAGAGCCCTACAGCAAGATTACCTCCATCCTCCCCCAGGGGAAGGGCTGCTAGATGGAGTGAAGGCCCTATCTATTAAGCATAGTCTACCTAGATTTATTTTTCCCATATCTAAGTAGGATTAACATTTAGAAACCTACAACACGAGACATAGTACGTCCAGTGAAATAATCCAAACAAGAAAACCCTCATATATATACCATATGACTTAAGTTGTGAATCTCTAATCATTAATCCCAACTAAGAAGTAAAGAAAGCAGTAAAAGAAATAAGACATCAACACATTATATTTATAATATCTTTCACTATCACTGGGGAGATAAAATAAAATACAAACATATAATTTTGTATACTTTCAAAAGTAATGCATCTCGGTCATATAGTTCAGTGATAGGTCGTATTCATAACCGACATCTGCCACACTTAGGCTATCAAGTAATTATCTTAGTGTAACGGACTACCCTGTAGGTATCCTGAACTATATACATGGCTCATTAGTCTCATCATGATCTTAGTATATAACATGAGTGCGGGACGGACTATCAAATAAGTATCCTAGAAATATGGCTCACGAGCCTCATCGCACCCTAGTGCGGGACAGACGACTAGATCAAGCCTCCTAAAATCCGACTCAACGGTCTGTACATATGGAATATCAATGTACTACCTCATGTAGTACTGAACTGAGCTCATCAATGATATCCACCTCATGTATAAACTGTGTATATCTGGTATGTCGACGTACTATCTCATATAGTACTGAGTTGTGCTCCTCAACGACATCCAACATGTGTATGAACGATATCTAATTCAAATATGATCAAATCAAAACTTATTATAATCCCCTTGGGATTCTCAAATGCGTAACACAATATATTTATGACTATACGTGTAACATCAAGCGGCTCAAAACTCCACGAGCGCATCTCAAAACGGCGCAACACAGCTCCACAAAATGAGCAGGAAAATAGACGAGACTTCTATTAGTAAAATAAGCATATTTGTCTCTAGGAAAACTATTTATAGAAATGGTTTTCTATGTTAAAAACTAGATTCGCACATCTTTCAATTGGAATAAGTTTGGTTCGGTTTGGAGTTTATTTGTTATCTCAAATCTCTAGTTAAACACTATACATGTGCAACAATTTTTCTGCAGGATATGTTATTAGTAAAAAGAACATATCTTTCTCTATACAAACTCTTTTTAAGAATTATTTTCTTGTTTTGAAACTAGATACATACAGATTTCATTTGGAACTGGTTTGGTTAAAGTTTGAGTTTATTTACTATCTCAAAATCTCAGTTAAAGATTATACAAGTGCTACAGTTTTCTGCAGAAAATATATATTTAGTACATCTCTTAAATTTCTTATATAAACGAAATTATGAATAACCCTAATAATCATGATCATGAAACGATTGTAAACATCAAGGATTTAAGATGAAACTAGCAAGAGATTAAGATTTAACATCAAAAATCATGTTTTTAACAACTCACGTTAAGATCTAATATATAATCAACAATTAAAAATTGTTAAATTCATTGTTTAACTAAGGGGATGGGATTGGATGGAAATAATCTTTTCTTAATCTTATGTGCAAGCCTCTGAAATAAACAGCAAGCAATCCACAAGTACAAACAACCCGTTCTCCCTTAACACACGTCGATGATCTCGCCCTTGTGTCGGTGTTCTGCTTCACAAAGCTCTCAAAATTCATAAGAAAAAGATCTAGGGTTTTTAAGAGAGAGGGTGACTGCTAGGGTTCATAGATATGATAAAAGAGAGGAATTTTCTTGAAAAATATAGGTATATATAGAACCAAACCCGAAACAAACATATTTGATCCGAACCAGGAAATCTAGTCTGACTAGGAAAATGACCTTCGGTATTTTGGCCATAACTTTTACGTCTGACCTCAGAATAAGGTGATATAAGATTTGTTGGAAATCTCTTGAAGATACCTACAACTTTGATCTTTTAGGTATTTCTAGATTCCAACTTCTTTAGTGTGTAAAATACATATATTTTTAACTGGTCGTTTTTCCCAGATTCAGGCTAGTGCACGTGTGCATGATATCACTTCTATATTCACATATATACATTGAATTGATCTCAAATAAATTCATAGCATTACAAAAAATTAATAAATATCATTTATCACAATATAATGCATTTATTATTATTTATTATAAAATATTCAAATTTTTAGGGTTTTACAGGGTCACATTTAGTCGACTCGCACCCTGGTTCCCGAAAATGTGTATTTCGATGTTTTCTCGGGATTTATTCATTCCAGAGCCTCTCAACTACTTAGATATCATCCCTAAACATGGTTAGGCTATTATTAATTGAGGATAAGGTCAAATCATCAATTTCTATCCTAAAATGCTATATCCGAAAGCCTATAAATTCAAGCCTAGGGTTCTATACGCAGGGAATCTAAAATTCTATCAAAAAGGGCGAGGTGTTGTCAGTTTGGAGAGTGCAATCCATGAATTTTAGAGGAGGGTTAGAAGATCTTGGTGAATTCTAGCAAAAAGAGGGAGCTATATAAAGGATCTGAAGCATGTTTCATCATTCCTTGAGATCAAACTTGGTTTTGATCTCGAGAAGAGTAGTAATCTCGCTTGGTTGAGATTATTTACTTTTCTGATTATTTCCTTTGTGAAGCAAGAGCATTGAATTTTTGTTCTGTTAACCGGATCTGATCCGCGGCAGTCCACTGACTAACACGTCCCCGGCACGGGCAAAGATCTCACACAAGCAGGGGGTGATAAATGTCTTCTACGTGTGTTTGAAGAGAGTTGTAATTCATGTTTTATTTGTGTAAGCGAGAAGTCTTATAAAAATACTAACTCTTTTAAATTCATTATAATCGATAAACAATTGTAATGGATTCTACAAATAAAATAAATTTCGACGCAAACAAATTGTTAAATGTTAAGATATTTCTTACAACTTTAAAATTTTAAGGGTATTTTTCATAATTATTGAAACTTTGAATTATTTTTGAAAAATTTAAATTTCTAGCGGTCTGCTGATAATTTCCAAATTTGATGTGTGATGGTTGTAAGTTTTGAAATTTTAGGTTATAAGTTTTGAAATTTTAAGATTTTTTGTATTTTAACTTTAGTGGGAGTTTTTATGATCCTTCTAACTTTAAGGTTATTTTTTATAAATATTAAATTTTTAAGTGCTTGATAGTAATCCCTTTTATGTTGTTTGCAAGTTTTAAAATTTTAGGATTTTAGGATATTTTTTTTGTAATTTGAACTTCTAAGGTTATTCTTATAATGTTTAAATTATTGAGGGTATTAATTATAAATTTTAAATTTTTTGAGGCTTGTTCTTAAATTTTAGCTTTCATATTTGTTGTTTTAACTTTTGAAAAGTCAGGGTGTTTCATGTAATTCTGAACTTTTGAGGCCATTTTGTATAGTTTTTAAAATATTTTGGTTTTTTTATAATACTTCATGTATTATAATATATTAGCTACGCCTGATTTCTTAATCTTATTTTTTTTAAATTTATGAGCCATAAGTAGTTCAGGTAGAATTAGTATAGGATATGATTAATATTAAGATAGATTAAGATTTTAATGAAATATTTAAAATAGTATTTCATGTATTTTATTAATCTTATTTTTTAAATTGTTGTGCTATAGGTAGTTCATGTTGAATTAGTATAAGATATAATTAATATTAGGATAAAATAAAATTCAAATGAAATAGTTAAAGTAGTGAAGAGTAATATTGACCATGGAAAGCTTTTCTTAAACTCGTGCTTTTAAAGGAAGTATGATACACACATATATATATATATATATAAAGAAAAACCCTAAATCTTTCTTAAAACCTACTATACCGTTGAGCCACTCCCAGAGCCGGCCCTAGGGGTAGGCGGGAGAGGCCTTCGCCTAGGGCCTCAAAAAATAGGGGCCCCAATATAATACTTCTATACCTTTTATAGATATGAAAAAGTAAGAGGATTTTTGTGCAAAATTGTTAGAGGGTTCTAATAGCATAATTCCAATTCCTATAAATACACAAAAGTGACAAAACCTAGGTCTCTCTCTGACCTCTCATCTTCTTCAGTTATTCCCGACTCCGTCCGCTCCTCCACGGCTCCACCGTCGATTCGTCGAAGTGTCGAACTCCACGGCGCCGCCTCCGGCGACTCCCTCCGCCCCTCCCACCGGAAAACGCGACCTCGCCGAGTCTGTTTGCCGTCTACGCCTGACGCCTCCTCCGCCGAATTAAGGTGCGAGATGCTTTTTCGCTTAAACCTGGCATGTTCGGCTGTAATTGACTAATGTAAAGTGTAAACAGTAAACTATGTAATTGTGTAGCTACTAGCTAAGTAGCTTTGTAGGCTATAATTGACTAATGTCCTACTGCAGCATCCTACAACTTTTTTTTTGTCCTTTAGCAATAGCTTCATAGACTTTTAAAGACGGATAAAAGTAAGTTAATTAACCTAAATGGAGATTCCTATAATCCTATGTCCAGTTTTGATATATTAACATCAAATTTGATTTATTTCAGAGCTTGTTACCATGGCCAAAAACTAGTTGATGCATGTTACCATTCAATTATATGATTTATTTCAGAGCTTGTTTCATGACCCAATATGATCAAATGATTGCATCGTATTCGTGTCCCAAAAAAAATCTTAAGTCCAAACTTTGTTTTTGTCTATTGAATAGGAACAAGAGATAAAAGTGCATCTTTTAGGATTCAAGCGTGTTGATCTGAAATTTGTTTGAAGTGAAGCTATTCAAATTTCAAGGTAATTTTATAACTTCATAAATTATAATTTTTGTTGATCTTATGTATTTTAGTATTTGTATATAATTTTTTGTTGATCTGAAATTTGCATTGTTGATTGATCATATTTTTTCAGCGTTCATCATGCTTCCTAGAAAGTATAGTTCTGGATATGAAAAAAGAAAAAAGAAACAAAAATTGGAAAAATTGGAAAAGTCTCAAGCAGGAGCGCTAGATAAGTTTTTTAGTAGTAGACATACAGAGCATGATAACGAAGAACATAATAATGAAGAAAATCAAAATGAAGAACAGAAAAATGATATGAATATTGAAGAACCTACTGAACACAATATGAATATTGAAGAACCTGCAGAAGATGATAGAAACATTGAGGAACCTACTCAACTTAGGATTGAGAGTGTCAATGAAAACATGAATGTTGACGATCCAGCAAATTGGGGTAATATTGATCAAAAATTGAGAGATCTTTTAGTAGAAAGAGGACCCAAAAGAGTTGTTATTGATTTTCCTAAAGATATTGAAGGCAGACATTTCTCTTCCACTCATTACACTCGACAATGGTTAAATGGAGAGAAACATGATAGGAGATGGCTAATATATTCAACTTCTTTGAATGTGGTATTTTGCTTTTGTTGCAAATTATTTAGAAAAGATGGAAACAAGAATCAAATGGGTTCTTTGGTTAATGAAGGATTTAAAAATTGGAAGAATCTTAGTCATAGACTTCAAAGTCATGAAGGGAGTAGTGAGCACATAAGTTGCATGAGAAGTTGGATTGAATTGGAAATGAGATTGCGTAGTATTGAAACAATTGATAAAAGTGTGCAAGAAATATTAAACAAAGAGAGAGAACATTGGAGACAAGTATTATTAAGAATAGTTGCTGTTGTAAAAACACTTGCTAAAAATGGTTTAGCATTTCGTGGGGATAATGAGAAGATTTATCAAGAGAACAATGGAAATTTTTTAAGTTTAATTGAAATGATTGCCGAATTTGATCCGGTAATGAAAGAGCATATTCGACGTTATCAAAGTGGTGAATCTCATAAGCATTATCTCAGTCATAAAATTCAAAATGAACTGATAGGAATGTTAGCGGGAGAGATTAAACTTTGCGATATGGCAAACTCTTGTCCGAAAGCTATATCTTTTTTTGGAGTGATACAACGTTTATATACTTTGTTTTCATCTTCTACTAAGCGGTGGGATATTTTCAAAGAACATGTTTCTGGTCTCACACTTAAGCCATTGTCACAAACACGGTGGGAAAGTCATGTTGAAAGTGTAAGAGCAGTAAGATTTCAAGCTACAGAAATAAGAGATGCTTTAATTCACTTGGCAAGTATCGATGGAGATCCAAAAATAAAGAGTGAAGCTGAGTCCTTAGCAACAAATGAAATGGAGAATTTTGAGTTCTTATTGGGTATGATTGTTTGGCACAATTTATTATTTGCTGTTAATTCTGTTAGCAAATTTTTGCAAAAGGAAGACATGCAAATTGATATTGCTATAGATCAATTGAATGGGCTTATATTATTTTTTGAAAAGTACAGAGAAAATGGATTTAAGGAGGCCATTACTGAAGCTAAAAAGGTTGCATCTGAAATGGAAATTGAAGCTGTATTTCGTGAAAAGCGTATCATTCGCAGGAAGAGACAATTTGATGAAAGTGCTACCGAAGAGACAATATTATCTCCTGAAGAATCATTTAGAGTTAAATACTTTCTATATATAGTGGATCAAGCTATTTCTTCTCTTAAGAGTAGGTTTGAACAATTTCGGCATTATGAAGAAGTCTTTGGGTTTTTATTTGATTTGAAGAAATTCAGCATTGTTGATGATGCTAGTTTGAAGGCTTATTGTGCGAAACTTGAAGAATCTTTAAAGCATGACAGTCATTTTGATATTGATGGCGAAGATTTATTTTTAGAGTTGAAACTTTTGAGAGAATACTTACCAAAAGAAACAAAAAAAGCAATTGACGTGCTGAATTATTTGAAGAAATTGGATGGTACTTTTCCGAATGCTTGGATTGCTTACAGAATATTGTTGACCATACCTGTTACTGTTGCCTCTGCAGAAAGAAGCTTTTCAAAGTTAAAGTTGATCAAATCTTATCTTCGATCAACTATGTCACAAGAAAGATTGAACGACTTAGCTTTACTGTCAATTGAGAAAAATGTAGTGGAGAAACTTGATTATACAAGTTTAATTAATGATTTTGCATCTAAAAATGCAAGAAGAGGCTTCATAAAGTGATACTTCTATTGGTTCATTGATCTTGTTTTGGGAATGAGAGTGTTAGGGTGTGATTTGTAGGCCTTTGGCCAGGGTGGGTAGCTAAGGAGAACTACATTGTGTTTGATCCTTGAGGTTAGTTATAACATCTCTTGGTATGTAGGCAACCCTAAAGTTACTTGGGTGCAACACTTTATTTTTAAAAAAAATCTTGAATATAGGAGGACCCCTTTAGGATTTTTGTTCAAGTTTTTGCCTAGGGCCTCCGAATTCTCAGGACCGGCCCTGGCCACTCCTAGATGGAAGCAGCCACTCCTAGATGGAAGCTTACAGATAAATTCCATTCAAGCAAAAGGACCATTTTAAGAAGAATTTAATACCACAGAAATGTCGTCTGTGAATTCTAATTAATATAGCAGGAGTCTGCATACCCTCCAAATTTATCATATTCCAAATCTTGGCTCTTTGTTAATTCGCACATATATTCCCTTATATTAGTTTAATATATCCTCATTTTCATGCTATCAAATTTTTAAAAGCTAAAAGGCCAATTTGATCATTGCACTAGGGCTTCATATTCAAATTGCCACTTTCATGTTATTTTTTCCCTTAACTTTGTCCCTATACCCCTTCTTAAATGTAAACTTAGTCTTTTTTTTAACTTTCCATTGAGATTACACTTAGTTGATAAAAATGATAAAATTGCACATGTGATCCCTGTAAACTATTTTTAATCAGATATTGTTCGCAATGATAAATGCAGCCTAAAGTTTAAATAAAATACTTGAACCTATTGTCATATCATTGAGAATAATATCATCATAAACCGATAGTTACACTTAAATTCTAAGAAATGTTAAAAAAGACTAAGTTTGCATCTAAGAAGGGGTATAAGCACTAAGTTGAGAGAAAATAAAGTGGGGGAATCAATTTGAGAATATAGTCCTAGTATAAAGACCAAATTGGCCTTTTCGCAATTTTTAAACAGTGAAGGGTTAAAAGACCTTCCGTCCCCATTTCAAAAGAATTAGGAAAACCAGGGGGGTTGGTTGGAGGAGGGACACATTCTCCCCGTCTTGTCATTGCCGGCAAACACCTCCTTCAACATCATTGTCGGTCTTGAGCTCAACTACTATGTTTCTTTCCTTTTTCTCTCTTTCCAAACACTAATTATGTACTAATTAATTTAACTAAGTTAATTATACACACACATACCCATATATACTAAATTTTATGCATGTGCAATGCACGTGGTCAAATACCATGATTAAGTATTTTTGGTTTATTTTCTTACTAAGATTTATTCTTTAGTTCCACTCTAATAGCTTTGCTCACTTATGTTTCTAAACCATAGAATTATGATTATATTTTCTTTGACATTCGTTTAAATGAGCTACACCCAATTTAGAGGTTCATGTTGATAATTGAATTTATAGGAAACCATGATTAAGTAATCCAAAGTCAATTTGAGTTATCATGTTATCTGGACCGATATGAAACCAAGTTTGACATGAGAAAATACAGTGTTGTAAAAGTAAAAAATACTTGAAAAAAATAGTGTTATAAAAGGAAGATGAATAATTAAAGCTAATAAGAGAAGACGAGTGGTTAAAAGAAGGCTAAAATGACACAAAAAATAAGATGAATTTTATTCCTAATCATTGATAGATTTTTAAAAAATCAAAAACATTAATACTAAGCCTAGTACACTTTTATATGATAAAAGAATTTACATAAGCATAAAATACTAAAAAAAACCTTCTTGAAATCCCTTCTAAAAATTTCTAATTTAATAAAAAACTATTCCATAAAATAAATAGAAAACATTGTATTGCATTCCTTCTGTTTTATTTTTTATTATGTTGGCATTAATCCTTCTCCACTTTTATCTTTTTTGATAAAATTAGACTACTTAAAAAGGGATAGTAAATCTTAAATTAGAAATTAAATTTAGATACTCTTTTCTTTGATAAGTTTTGAAATTTTAGTCATTTTTTGTGACTTTATATTTTTTGAGGGCGTGTTTTACAAATTTTAAAACTTTTAGAGTGTTTTTTAAGTATTTTAAATTTTAAGTTGGGTGCTTGTAATTTTTATGTTTTATTGTTGATGGTAAGTTTTTGAATGTTAAGATATCTCTTACAACTTTAAAATTTTAAGGGTATTTTTTGTAATTATTGAACTCTAAATTATTTTTTTAATTTAATTTTTTTGCATCTGCTGATAATTTCCAGATTTGATATGTACTGGTTATAAGTTTTGAAATTTTAGGTTTTTTATAATATTTAACTTTTAAAGAAAATTTTTTGTAATTTTTATAACTTTAAGATTATTTTTTACAAATTTTAAATTTTTAGGTACCTAATGATAATCCCTTGAACTCATCCTTTGCTGTTTGAAAATTTTAGAATTTTAGGGTGATTTTTTATTATTTGAGATTTTGAGGATGTTTCTATAATTTAAAAAATATTAAGGGTGTTAATTATAAATTTTAAATTCTTCAAAGGCTGCTATTAATTTTTAGATTTCATGTTTATTATTTTAAGTTTTGAAACGTCCTTTGAGGATATTTTGTTGAATAATTTTTTTAAAATTTATGGGTTTGTTTAATAATACTTCATATATTATAGCATATTTATTCTTTACCTTAACAAACTAATACCATGAAGATGTTTCATGTATTTTATTAATATTTTTTAAATTGTTTAGCTCTAGGTAGCTTACATGGGATTAGAATAGATATAATTATGGTTAGGATAGATTAAGATTTAAATAAAAGATTTAAAATATAGGATAATATTGATCATAGAATGTTTTTCTCAAACTCATACTNCATTTTATGGAGGATTGGATGGAATATGAGCTACAACGTCAATATCTAAAGGAGGTGGAGGCAAAGTGATGAAGCAATGTTTATCAAGAACACTTAACGCAATGAGAAGCTTCATCAACACTAAAACAATATCAAGACTCAAGAAATGTATTTCTATATAAGAGATATTTGCTATTTTATTTTCTCTCTAGTATTTAAATGTAGGCAAGTAGTTGTAGATTTCATTTGAAGCTATTTGGGATATCACACACACTTGCACACTTTTAAAACTCATATTTTGATACTTTTGTTAAAATGATGATTTTCATAAATACGAGGACTTTTTTACAAAATTCTTTTTCAAACAAGTTTGTCAAAATATTTATAAACTATTCCCAAAGATTTACATTTTTTAGAATTTATTTACTATTTTTTACAGAGCATTAAAACTCACTCTCAAAACCAAGTTAGGCTGATAACCTGTTATCAGTTGACTGATGAAGTCAGTCGACTGAAAAAAGTGCCTAGAATCTTCATTTTGCTCTCTGTTGTGTTTCCGTCATGTAAAACCCCAAAAAGTTAAATATTTTGTAATAAATAATAAATTTGTTGTATTATAAAAAAATAATATTTATTAATATTTTAGTATGCTAGGAATTGATTTGAGATCAATTCAATGTATATATGTGAATATAGAAGTAATATCATGCACACATGCACGGGCCGGAATCTGGGAAAAATAACTAGTTAAAAGTATATGCATTTTACATACTGAAGAATTTGTAATATGGAAAAACTTAAAAGACCAAAGTGTAGGCCTCTTCAAGAGCTTTCCAAAAAATCTTATATCACCTCATTCCGAGGTCGAACGTGAAATTTATGATTAAAATACCGATGGTTGTTTTCCTAGTCAGACTAGGTTTCCTGGTTCGGGTCAAACAGGTTTGTTTCGGGTTTGCCTCTATAAATACCTGTGTTTTTCATAAAAAAATTTCTCTTTTATTATATCTATGAACCCTAGCAGCCACCCTCTCCCCTAAAAAATCCTAGATTTTTTTATAAATTTTGAGAGCTTTGTGGAGCACAATACCGATACGAGGGCGAGATCTACGACGTGTGACAAGGGAAAACGGGTTATTTATGCTCGTGGATTGCTTGATGTTTATCTCAGAGACTTAGAACAATATTTGAGAAAAGATTATATTCATCCAAACCCATCTCCATGGTTAAATAACTAGTGTAGATGATTAATATGATGTCAAATATGTGTTTTTATGCTTTAATTTTAACCTGGGGTGTTAAAAGTTAGATTTTTATAGTAAATCTTAAATCAATGCTAGATTAGTAATCTTTTCTTACTATTTATGATAATATCATGATCATGATCATTAGAGTTATTCATAATTTCATTTATATATGAGAAATTTAAGTGATGTACTAAATATATATTTTCTGCAGAAAACTTCAACACTTGTATAATCTTTAACTAATATTTTAAGCTAGCAAACAAATTCTAAATTTAACCAAACTAGATCCAAATGAAAGATATACGTATCTAGTTTATAAAACAGAAAACCATTCTTAAAAAGTATATGTATAGAGAAAGATATGTTATGTTTACTAACAACATGTCCTGCAGAAAAACTGATGCACATGTATAATGTTTAACTGGAGATTTGAGATAACAAATAAACTCCAAACTAAACCAACCTTATGCCATTTGAAAGATGTGTGAATCTAGTTTTCAAAACAGAAAACTATTTGTAAAAAATAGTGTTTCTAGAGAAATATATGCTTATTTTGCGAACAGAAGTCCCGTCTATTTCATGCTCGTTTTGTGGAGTTGTGTTGCGCCGTTTTGAGATGTGTTCGCAGAGTTTTGAGCTGCTTAATATTACACGTATAGTCATGAATATATTGTGTTACACATTTGAGAATCCTAAGGAAATTATGATAAATTTTGATTTGATCATATTTGAATTAGATATCATTCATATACATGTTGGATGTCGTTGATGAGCACAGCTCAGTACTTTATGGGATAGTGCGTCAACATACCAGATATACACGGTTTATACATAAGGTAACTGTCATTGATGAGCATAGCTCAGTACTATATGGGAT